TGTGCCCGAGCCCATGTTGGGGTGGGTGCCACGTTGTAAGCTTCTGGCCACTGCGGCGCGCCATGTGTCCGAAAGCATGGATATGTGTCCGCGCGCCTGAAGCCCCTTTTGCCCGATGTGGTACTCCTGTGACGAACGCACGGCTTCCACGCCGCGCGTGCTGACGTGGCAGCCGTGCGTTCGTCACCGGAGGAAGAGGATAAAGAGGACGAGGAGGGGGAGGAGGACGAGGAGGTGGTCGACGACAGGGAGGTGGAGGAGGAGGAGGAGGAGGAGGAGGAGGAGGAAGCAAAGCACAGGGACGGCGACGTGAAAGACTGAGCGAAGGAGGTGGTCGAAGAAGAGGAGGAGGAAGAGGAAGACGAAGTAGAGGAGGTTGGGGCGACGAAAGACGAGGAAGAAGAAGACAAAGAAGAGGAGGAGGAGGAAGCCGGGGAGGAGGTGGCGGAGGAGGACGATGAAGAAGAAGAAGATGAGAAGGAGGGGGAGGGAGGAGACTTTTTAACGGTTGTTTTTTTTAATCAACCAATCAATCAATCAATCAATCAATCAATCAATCAATGGAGTCAATTGATCAATCAAATCGATTGATTGATTGATTGATTGATTGATTGATTGATTGATTGATTGATTGATTGAAGAGGAGGAGGAGGAGGAGGAGGAGGAGGAGGAGGAGGAGGTGGAGGAGGCAGAGAAGGCAGAGGAGGAAGAGTAGGAAGTGAAGGAAGAGGACGGGGAGGAGTTGAAGGAGGAAGAAGAAGAAGAGGAGGAGGAGGGCTTCTGTCTGAAGCCCCTTTTGCCCGATGTGGTACTCGACTTTCGGCTCAAAGGAGAAGTGTACCCGAGCCCATGTTGGGGTGGGTGCCATGTTGGAAGCTTCTGGGCACTGCAGCGCGCCATCTGTCCGAAAGCATGGATATGTGTCCACGCGCCTGAAGCCCCTTTTGCGCGATGTGGTACTCCTGTGACGAACGCACGGCTGCCACGCCGCGCGTGCTGACGTGGCAGCCGTGCGTTTGTCACCGAAGGAAGAGGATAAAGAGGACGAGGAGGGGGAGGAGGACGAGGAGGTGCTCGACGATAGGGAGGTGGAGGAGGAGGAGGAGGAGGAGGAGGAGGAGGAGGAAGCAAAGCATAGGGACGGCGACGTGAAAGACTGAGCGAAGGAAGTGGTCGAAGAAGAGGAGGAGGAAGAGGAAGACGAAGTAGAGAAGGAGGCTGGGGCAACGAAAGACGAGGAAGAAGAAGACAAAGAAGAGGAGGAGGAGGAAGCCGGGGAGGAAGTGGCGGAGGAGGACGATGAAGAAGAAGAAGATGAGAAGGATGGGGAGGGAGGAGACTTTTTAACGGTTGTTTTTTTTAATTAATTAATTAATTAATCAATCAATCAATCAATCAATCAATCAATCAATCAATCAATCAATCAATCAAACAATCAATCAATCGATCCATTGATTGATTGTTTGATTGATTGATTGATTGATTGATTGATTGATTGGTTGGTTGATTGAAGAGGAGGAGGAGGAGGAGGAGGAGGCAGAGGAGGCAGAGGAGGAAGAGTAGGAAGTGAAGGAAGAGGACGTGGAGGAGTTGAAGGAGGAAGAAGAAGAAGAAGAGGAGGAGGGCTTCCGTCTAAAGCCCCTTTTGCCCGATGTGGTACTCGACTTTCGGCTCAAAGGAGAAGTGTGCCCGAGCCCATGTTGGGGTGGGTGCCACGTTGTAAGCTTCTGGCCACTGCGGCGCGCCATCTGTCCGAAAGCATGGATATGCGTCCGTGCACCATCTGTCCTCCTCCTCCTCATTCTCTCCTCCTCCTTATTCTCTCCTCCTCCTCCTCCTCCTCCTTCTTCTTCCTCCTCCTCATTCTCTCCTCCTCCTCATTCTCTCCTCCTCCACATTCTATCCTCCTCCTCCTCCTCCTCCTTCTTCCTCCTCCTCATTCTCTCCTCCCCCTCCTCCTCCTCCTCCTCTTCCTCCTCTGACGACTGCGCAGCTGCCACGTCAGCATGCACAATTTTTTTTTTTTTCCCGCTTCGTCTTCCTCCTTTCTCATCCTTTCTCCTCCTGTTCTTCCTCCTCCTCCCAGTCTTCTTCTCCCTCCTCCTCCTCCGCCAGATCCATGTCCTCCTTCTCTTCTTCTTCCTTCTCCTCATTCTCTCCTCCTCCTCATTCTTTCCTCCTCCTCCTCCTCCTCCTCCTCCTCCTCCTTCTTCTTCCTCCTCCTCATTCTCTCCTCCTCCTCATTCTCTCCTCCTCCTCATTCTCTCCTCCTCCTCCTCCTCCTCCTTCTTCTTCCTCCTTCTCATTCTCTCCTCCTCCTCATTCTCTCCTCCTCCTCATTCTCTCCTCCTCCTCCTCCTCCTCTTCCTCCTCTGACGACTGTGCAGCTGCCACGTCAGCATGCACAGTTTTTTTTTTTTTTCCGCTTCGTCTTCCTCCTTTCTCATCCTTTCTCCTCCTGTTCCTCCTCCTCCTCCTTGTCTTCTTCTCCCTCCTCCTCCTCCGCCATATCCACGTCCTCCTTCTCTTCTTCTTCCTCCTCTTCATTCTCTCCTTCTCCTCCTCTTCCTCCTCATTCTCTCCTCCTCCTCCTCATTCTCCCCTCCTCCTCCGCCTTGTACTCGTCCTCTTCCTCCCTCTCCATCTTTCTCGTCCTCCTCTTCCTCCTCCTCCTCCTCCACCTCGGCATCTTGTTCTTCCCCCTGCTCTTTTTTTTTCTTCTTCGTCCTCCTTCTCGTCTTTTCTTCTTCCCCCCCCTCCTCCCCCGCCCTATCTGCGTCCTGTTCCTCCCCTTCGTCCTCTTTTTTTTTTTTTTTTTTTTTTTTTCCATATTTTTTCTGAACTTTGTCTTATTCTTCTTGTCCCCCGTTTTGCTGACGTGGCATGTCGTCGTCTTCTTGTTCTGTCGTTCTGCTGGAGCTGGAGCAGAACTGGAACGTCGTCTTCCCGGCACGTGGCAAGCAGCACCGGGGAGTGTAGCTGAATAGTCGGCATCCTTCCGCATCGCATCTGCCTCATCAGCAGCTACCACATCAGGACTGGCCATCGCAGCATCTGCCACATCAGCATCCAGTCGAGGTTTGCTGCTTCCACGTCGGCAGTGCTATGGCCAGCAACAACGCTGATGGGGCAGGGAGAGCGGATGTGGGGCGGGACCCCTTCCGGGAGGACCTCAACCACCGGCGGGATCACGTGGTGTGGACGTGGGTGACTGCCGGTCAGTTGCTGCCAGGGAACTCTCGTGGATGAAGGAGGCTGCGCTGCAAGCTGTGCAACAAGGAATTCACAGGGACACAGAAACGGGCGATGGAGCACTTTTGTTTGAAGAGGGTCTCCACCCGGTGTCCAAATGCAACGATGGCAATTTGGAGGAGGTTGCACAGGGTTGGTTTTGAGATGCCGCCAGATCTTTTGGAGAGGGTGCAGCGCGCAATAGAGGAGACTGCTAGCGATGACGATGATGGTCCTGTGTTGGAGAACGGCGCGGTGGGGCGAGGGGGAGGGGTTGCGATGGATGGGGAGGCAGGGGAGGCAGTTCATGGGCAGGCTGGCAGCAGGGTGGATGAGGTGACAAGAGGGGTTGTGGCCGATGGAGAGACTCCGGTCCGGAGACCTGCATTGTCGCAAACTGCGGAGCAGGCTGCCCGCAGACGGGGGGCGGCTAGACAGACAAGCATCGTCAGGTACGTGAAGAACCCCAGACAAACGGACATCGATGATACCTGCTGCGAGTTCTTTGTCGAGAACGCCATCGCCTTCAATGTCGCGAAAAACAAGAGCTTCAAGAAGTTCCAGCTGGCGTGTTATGGGCCGTAACCTGCAGCGAGCTGCCCTCTTGTGCCCACTGGGTACAACCCACTACGATGCAGGCTGCTTGATCGGTTGCGCGGGAGGTTGGAGGCTGAGGAGAAGGCGGTCCGGGACGACTGGGAGGTGACAGGCTGCACGTTCATAACCGATGGCACCACAAACATCTGTGGGTGATCGCTTATGAACTTTATCCTCGCCGGGCGGTCAAAACCCGTTTTCATCAAATGCGAGAATGTGAGCGAGGGGGAGAAGGATGTAGCTGCCGTCGTCGCTGGGTGGAAGAGGTTCTTCAGGGAGTGGGGAGTGGAGAAGGTGACTGCGATCTGCACAGACTCCTTTGCAGGGAACAAGAGCGCTGCCCGGATGTTGAGGGAGGATCCCGAATTCGCGCAAATCTACTGGATCCCTTGCACGACACACTGCATGGACCTGCTCATGCACGACATCTGCAAGAAGAAGTGGTCGGCGACCATCATCGAGAAGGCCAACAAGGTGGTCACCTTCTTCAGAGTGCACAGGTGGCCACGATCGCAGCTGCGGACGCAGTTGTTGCAGTACCCTGACCTTAAATGCACCTGCCTACTTCGCCCAGCTCAGACGAGGTTTGGGACAAACTACGTGATGCTGCAGCGACTGGAGGTCTGTGCCAGGGCCATCATACGCATCGTGAATGGACTCGCCTGGGAGAGGATGGTGTGGAGGAGGGATATCAGGGGGAAGGCGTTATTTGTGGAGGAGACTGTTCTTGACAGGGCCTTCTGGGCTGATGTCAAGAAGCTGACCACACTCATGAAGGGCCCTTATGAAGTCCTACGAGAGGTGGACAAGGATGTCCACTGCTTGTCTCGGATCTATGACCTGGCCCGTCAATTGCCTGTCTTCGTCCGTTCGGCCCCCCTCGGTGACAAGCAGCGAGATGATGTCCTGGTGGACGTAAAGAATTGGACAGATATGCTGCTCAGCCCGATCCACGCCGTGGCCCGGTTGCTGGATCCAGTGTTGAGGGACATTGCTGTTTTCAGCAATGTTGAGCTCATGACGCAATTTGAGGTTGTTGTGGAGCGCCTCATCGGCAAGAGAGGGAGCAAGACGTTTCACGACTGCTTGGACCAACTGTATGAGTTCTTGATGGCAAGAGGAGTGTTCGGCACCACACGGGCGGTGCAGAGGGCGAAGAAGGACAATGCGGTGCTGTGGTGGGAGGAGCATGGGGCTGGCCATCCAGAGATCGAGGCTCTGGCGGTGAAGGTGCTCTCCATTTAGACGACATCCTCTCCAGCAGAGAGGTATTGGAGCACTTGGTCTCTTGTGCAGACGAAGTCCAGGAACAAGCTGCACCACCAGCGCACCGAGAAGTTGGTGTACTCGCACTGGAGCCTCAGGCTCAAGAGCAGGGGCGATGATGGCCCAACGGTGGTAGGAGGATGGTTGGGGCTAGCAGCAGACTGGGCTGACGATAATTTGGAGGGTGATCAGGCGGGTTTGACTGACGCTGTCGACGACGGTGAGCTCGGTCATGAGGCTGCTCCATCCGGTGCAGGTAGCACCACCATTCGCCATGATCCTGCTGCAGCCAGGACATCAGCAGGCGTGCCGAGGCGAGGAGAGGTGGAGGAGGGTATGGAGTGGGGTGACATGGAGGAGGAGGAGGACGATGACAATGTGGACAGCGAGGACGAGATTCCACATGACGAGTGGGTGGGGTCAGACTCTGACAGATCGTGGACGAGGAGGGAGGAAATCACACCATATGTTCCGGGCACACGACATGGATTGAGGTCCCAGAGTCAGCGGCAGCAGGTGCAGCAACATGAGGAGCAGCCTGTGGAGCACCATGAGCAGGCTGTTGTTGAGCAGCAGCAGCAGCAGGCTGACGATCAGCAGGGGGAGGAGGCACTGGGGCACGGGGAGCAGGAGGGCGAGGCAGAGGAAGGTCAGTGCTGCCCGGAGGTGCGGTCATTTTATGGTGCCAGTCTCCCGCCGCACCTGCTCGGTAGTGGGCAAGCACATCCCGAGCGTGTATGGGATCCGCTCGGCTATCGTGCTCCACGAGGCAGAGGGCTCCTTCCTTCCACAGGAGGCAGAGGTCGCGCTCGTGCCGCACGAGGGACAGGTCGCCCGAGAGGGCGGCCACGGAAGGACAAGCAGCCACTGCCTGATCCTGCAGCCTCCACCTCTGATGACGAATCCCATGAGAGTGCCCCCCTGCACAAAACGAAAAAGAGGAGGATAGCGCCTGATGAAGGCAGAGAGACACACACACACACACACAGAGAGAGAGAGAGAGAGAGAGAGAGAGAGAGAGAGAGAGAGAAAGAGAGAGAGAGAGAGAGAGAGAGAGAGAGAGAGAGAGAGA